GCCCGGCCCGCGCTGCGTCAGCCACCACCCAGCACCGCCCGCGCCCGGGCTCGCTCCGCCCCGCCCGCAAGTGCCCCGGCGTTTCAGTGTTTGCGGGAGGCTGTCCACCCTGCACCGGGTGGGCTCCGAAACATACCAGGTTGCAGAGGCAACTGCATCCAGGACTCCTAACAGAGGAGATGTCTTCGATTAGAGCAACTAGATTTTTCCAACAAAAAAAGAAAGAAAGAAAGGCTTTAATTGCCCAAATTAGCATATGGCATGACAATACAGTTGGGGTTTTTTCCTACATCTGGGATAGAAAATTCAAATAAGTATGCAGATTAAATAACAAGAATTTTTTCTTCCCTTCCTGGGCAGTCTACAGGGGAAACCCACAACTAAGCATGTAGATTTTGCAAAAATGTAGTTGCTGTAATCGAAGACATCGCCTCGGCCAGGCGTCCCGATTCAAAATGCAGCGTATTGTTTGTGGCAGGGAGTTGATGCAGTGCACGCCGCTCTCAGGGAGTCTGAACTGATTTGGGAGAGCACTTTCTTATGGTTGCTGGCCTAAAAAAATAAAGGGTTTTTTTTGGTAAACATTTTCTTATGGCTGCTGGCCTCAAAGATTTTGTTGTCCATATACACATAAATCATATATCTACATTTTCTAGTCATCTTTTGTGACCCACTCTCCCTCACTGGCTACTTACAGAGAGCTACATAAAGTAAATAAGAGTTATTTCCATACTTATTCCCATGCTTGTTTGTGTATTTTTTTCTGTGTACAATAGTTTTTTCAGCAAATACGATGGTTTTGAGCTTCCGATACAATCATTCCGTATTTAAGACGTGGCAGCGCTGCCCACAGGCCCCGCACCGAGCTAGGATCTGGGAGAGTGGTGCAGAGGGGAGGCGCCTCCTCCCAGGCAATGCAGCTCACGTTTTTCTCCAATTTAACAAGAAACTAGAAGCTTTGCTCAGCTGCCAGGGGCTGGGTGGGTTGCTGTCTTGAAGCTGGAAGCAAAAACAAATAGCGCTTCGTTGGATGGAGTGAAAAGCAACCGGCAGGGCCGTGACACAGGAGGTACCTGACCAGCAGCAGGCACAGGCAGCAGGACGGCAGGACAGGGGCTGGCTGCAAGGGAGTGGGGGACATTAAGACCATGAAAGGAAAAGAAAAGAGGATCCTTAACACCCACCCCTGGCATGAAGGGTTCAGAAGGAATCAGGCAGATGATGATGAGCCTTGAAGCCAATGGACTTCCTCAGTGCTGTCCAACCAAAAAGGCAGCTGCTACTGTCAGGCAGTGGGTGTTAAATTTTGGGGGGGCCAGGAATCAAAGGGGGTGCAAGTGCACCAGGGCAAACCCCCTCCAATGATCTGCCCCTGCCTCAATAAGAGGCTTTCTGAAGATTAGCACCAGCTCAGGGGTGTCTTTTGGCTGGGTCTCCCGTTCCCCACGGTGCTTGGGCAGCTGCAGTGCGGCCCTCTCCCCCAGACCCCCCTGACTTGGGCCTCCTGCCAGCCCGCATCACCCACCTGTCACCACTGGGCAGGGGCCCTTCAGCTTAGCAGGGGCAGACACAGGCATTTGAAACTCTGCTTGTTTCCTGGGCTCTCCCTAACCCTGCAACCTCCCACCAGCAGGACCAGCCTGCAAAAGTCCTTTGCCAGCCAGGCCATTTCCTGTTACTCCGTAGCAGAGCCAGCATTTGCCCTCCTAGAGGGGCACAGCGAAGGAGACACTTCGCAGGGAGGGAGGCAGAAGGTTTTGGATTTGGCCTAAAGAAATGTCCCAGCTGAGGCAAGGCCTGGAGCTCTGAAGATGTGACCAAGACACACCGACTTGCAGGGACTGGGAGCTGAGGGGACCCCTCGCTGGGGCTCAGCACTCAGGCTTTGACCCCTAACACTGAGCCTCATATGTGGGGGCAGCCAGGCAGTAAATTAGCCCTGCACCCTCTCCACTGCCACGCAGATCCCCTTCCCTGCCCGATCTGCTGCTCTGCTTTCTGCCCAATTTCTGTTCTCTGTCCTACCTGCTGCTCTGCTCTTCTGCTCCATGTCCCTGATCTGTTGTTCTGCTTTCTGCTCCCATTCATTCTGCTGCCCTGCCTGCCTTCTGCCCCCACCTGATCCGCTTTCTGCTCTATGTCCTCTCCTTGCCTGATCTCCTGCTCTGCTTTCTGCTTACTGCCCCATCTGCTGCTCTCTCTGTTCCTGCTCTCTCTTCTGCCCTGCTTTCCTCTCCCTGCCCTATCTCCTGCTCTGTTTCTTGCTTACTGGCCCATCTGCCGCTCGGCTTTCCGCTCCCTAGTGGGTCGCTGCCTCCCCAGGCGGCTGACCGCGGTGCCCACCCCAGC